TTGACAGGGTGCCAAAATGTCGAAAACCCGGTACTCGATTACTCACTCAAGGAAATTGATATTCTTTGACGGGGACATGGGAAGAATTGCTTTCGTGACAGTGTGATTCCATCCACTGTGGAACGGAGCATGACCCAGCCAAATCTCTGTGTACATCCGGCATGTAGGTTTCTACAGATTTTATATGAATGATGTGCATTCTGATCAGGTGTGGGCCGGCTCTGAATCAATTGTGGCTCTCATCTACAAGCCTCCAGTGCTATTCCTTCGGGTTTATACTGGATATGGAATGCGAAGATAGAGCTGTGGGTGGCGCAGCTCAAGCCACCTATGGTCCTACCGTAGGCGCAGGCGTCCAGTGCCTGTTCCATGGATGCTGCAGTGAAGGCAAAGCCGGAACCGGATGCCGCACGGTGGCCAGTCACAGGACGCCTGCGTCTACAGATGGACCATGGGTGGCTTGCGCTGCACCACCCGCAGCTCTAACCACACACCTCATATCCAGTGTAAACCCGAAGGAATAAGACCGGGAGGCATGTGGATGGGAGCCACGTTTCATCAACGGAGCCGGCCCACACTCCTTCACAGGCAAACACAAGCACGCTGTATTTGGGGAATCAAACGCAAACACAAGGCGGTGGCTGGACCGTAGTCCGCTCCACACTAAGTGCATGCAACCACTCTTTGATCCTAATACGGCCACAAGAACCGTGCACCCCGTCCCCTCCAGCAACGACCAACTGTCTCCTGGAGCCAGTATGGACGAGGTAGTGGGTAATAGACAGGTAGGCACCTTGTCAACATGCACATCAAGCGCAACCATACCGGGGATATCAAGCAACAGCCAATCAATTGGGAGAAAGATACCAAATAAAATAAAGCGAGTAATGCATAAGGAAATAGTGACATAAATCTTAAATTAATGAGCATATGGAATAAGTTGTTTACCAACAAATCCGGGATAAGTTCCCGAGGTCGGAAAGTATATTTTACGGAAATGCCACAAACACGAAAATGTTATCGAAATTAACTACAATTGGCTTAAGCGACGTGTACAAGTTTATAGAAGGGAGTACAGGTAGACATTTATTTGAGAAAGAAAAGCATTAGGACAAAACTAAAAACCAACCACCTGAAATAAAGAGACTTAGCATGCAAGCACGCGGTTAGTAAATCTAAAGCAGTGTACCTACAAACGTTGAGCCGGTTCTGCCTACGTTCTTTGCAGGACCAGTCGTTGTTTCGGTGTTGGGCCCCGAGTGGCCTAGCTCATGGCTCACTAGACCTGCCTGACTCAGTCACTCGCGACTGCATGTGCTACAGCACCATGCGCTCGATGTCGATGGAGTACATCCCATCAACGCCTGTCGCTTCTGCAATGGCCACCTTTTTCATGCACGAGGGATTTCTCTTGCAACTCGCCAACGGCCTTCGTGATCATATCGTGCCATGCACGCCGATCAACCGCCTTCGACTCCCATGAGCCGCAATCAAGATTAGTACGTGAGAGTCCCACTTTGATTATTTCCTGGTAACGTAACTTCGCTTTACCCACATGCCGCTTCCCTAAAGTCAGTTGACCACTTAATAGCTGCTTCGGTATCCACGTCGAATTCATACGCCTCACATTATCGGGCCCCCTAAGGTGTCGCAGCAAAAGTATGCAGTCCACTGCATAGATTCCATTTCGGTGCAACACTTCGGTGTCCGCAACTCTGTCGCTCCAAATGATGCGCAAAATGCGTCGCAAACACTGTTGATGGAACCGCCCGAGATATCGCACATCTCGCCGGTACATCGTCCACGTTTTGCTGCCGTATGGAAGAACGGATAGCACCATGGATTTGTACACCATCAGCTTCGTGCCAACGGTAAGCTGATTGTTGTTCCACACTCGGTCCTTAAGCTCCCCGAATGCCGCCGCTCACTGTGAAGCTGCTGGTCAGTCGACACTACACGCCCTAAGTAGCAGAAGTGGGAGGAGGTTTGCAATACGTCATCACCAATGGTGATTCGCGGCGTCATTGTAGATTGCACCTCCGGTGAAGGTTGAAAGAGACGGACAGTTTTGCTTGTGTTGATGCTGAGCCCGAATTTTGCCGCTGTCGAAGCCAGAGCACTAGTCATGTGCTGTAACTCATGCGCGCTGTGTGCAAACAACGCACAGTCGTCAGCAAACAGCAACATACGGATAGTTGTCTCACAGACTAGGGTACTCGCACCGAGTCTTGTGGTTGTGAGATCCGAATAGATGATCCACCCGCTGCTCCCAATGTTGTCCCGTAGATTCATGTTCTGGACGCCTGCTCGTGGCGACTGCTAGGTGGGAGTTGGGTTACACCCTTCTTCTAGCTAGGAGCCAGGACACACAATTCCGCGTGAGTCGGTTCACTAACTCGTGGCGCACATCCCGCCGCCTTTCGGGTGTACATTTTATCGAAGGCTTTGGTTGAGGACCCGAGTCGTTATCCTGTTATGTGTGGACGCTCTGGTAGTATCCTAGTCCAACCCCAAACTATGAGTCACGCTAATAACAAAAATTCCATACTGCATCGGCCCTCGCACAGTGGCCTTAGAAAATGGGTCGCCTTATCTGGTGCATACAGCGGGTTAGATAAGCGGAAAGATGTTAGCGATGACACCGCCCATCTTTCTTCTTCCGCTGCACATAATCTCCCCGTCCCCATTTCACCTAACCCATTACTTCCCCTAATCCAGGTCGTCACCACCCATGCGACTGCCCGGCAACGCAATCGTTTGCCTCCGCGCAAAGCACTCAACATCGGGTGCTGGAACTTGAGCACACTACTCTACCGGAATATAAGTGAGCGTCCCGAGTGACGCACTGCACTGGTCGCGATGGAACTCGCGCGCTACGGGATCGATATTGCGGCGCTCAGCGAGACCCGGTGTGGACAGATGTCATCGACCCGTATGGCATTGGATCAGCGAATGCGTGCGGTGACCGGTTGCTGTCACTGTGCCACACTTATGGCCTGAAAATCGTGAACACCCGGTTTGCATTGGGTGGGAGTGATATAGCTACTGGGAAGCAACCACGGGGTAGTAATGCTCACCTGCTCGACAATGTCATAGTATGCCGGCGTCGCATGAATGTACCGGAAGAGCAATGTGGATTCCGTTCTGGTCGCAGCACCATAGATATGGTGTTTGCGGCTCGTCAGTTGCAGGAGAAATGCCGAGAGCCACACTCGCTTTTTGTTGATTTCACCAAGGCATTTGATACGGTGAACCGCGAGTCATTGTGGCTGGTGTTGGGTAAGTTTGGTTGCCCGCGTAAGTTTGTAAGTTTAATTGAATGTCTGCACAGTGGTATGCGAGCGAGGGTGCAGCTGAATGGAGAGACCTCGGATGACTTTGCAGTTGTCTCTGGTGTGAAGCAAAGCTGTGTCTTATCTCCTGCCCTGTTTAATATATATCTTCATGCAATGATGTCTTGTGCTTTTGATGCGGCTTGTGCTTACGGCGTTTATGTGGAACATCGTATTGATGTTGACTTCCTGAACCTCCGTCTTTTCGGTGAGGGAAATCATGTCTGTGAGACAACTATCCGTATGTTGCTGTTTGCTGACGACTGTGCGTTGTCTACACACAGCGCGGATGAGTTGCAGCACATGACTAGTGCTCTGGCTTCGACAGCGTCCAAATTCGGGCTCAGCATCAACACAAGCAAAACTGTCTGTCTCT